CCCAAACCAGTCCCCTTTAGAGTTAGCCTTAAGCAGAACTAATAACGTTTGTCGTTTATTCATTTATTGTTTTGTTTGATTGGATAAAGAGAAGCACATTGGCACAGTAACGGTGACATAGTGAAAGAAAACAACAACCCACAAACAAACAAAACAGACAGAAACAAGAACAGAGAAGAGTTACGGGAACTACTAGTGGCACCTCCCCCCCCCCCACCCCACCCCCACCCCTAAGCTATGCGTCGATGGCCTAGTGGTTAGGCTCTCGGACTCGCAACTGTAAGGTCGTGGGTTCGAATCCCATCAGGGGCCCGACGTTGTGTCCTTGGGAAAGGCACTTTACACGAATTTCCCTCACTTCACCCAGGTGGGAATGGGTACCCGGCTATAGACAGCGAAAGATCGTGTCAGTTTGTTAGTGTTTGAGCGCTTAATCACCTGCTTGCACTGTATGCTTCCCGGGAAGCTGAGAATGTTTCGGTGTGTACTATGGTCTGCTGGGGTAATAATATAGTGTAAAGCGCATAGAGCCTGCTGTTGAGCGGGGATTTGCATAGATATAAATGCTATTTATTATTATTGTTATTATTATGTTTAACCCTATCATCCGTACGCCCTGGGGTCATTTTGAAATTCTTCACATTTTAGAATTCTTCTAGTACGAAGATCTCTTTGAAACTTTCAGTATTTCTCATTCACCACGTCGTATGGATACGACAGTAAGACACGACGTAAGGAGAGGGTTAAAACATTCCAACTGGACTATCATGTGAATAGCTGAAAGCTTTGGAATTTCACGTAAATGATAAATGAAAACTACAGGAGAATGTCAGTGCTTTTACAAACAACTGACTCTAATCAGGCAAGAGCATCTCTCAGCTCCGACCCAACGGCCAATCATGTATTCATCGATAGGCCTACTTTGCGTTTATCGTTTCAGTTGGATAGGCCCATTATCCATTTATTATTGAAGACGATAACAAAACACGGCCATCCCATTACCTTATCAGATCGTAGCAAACGGGATTTTGAATCATGTTGTAAAACAGAGATTAATTTTTACTTTTACTCCCGCACACAGATGCAGTGCTTAAAGGGGTCAAACTGCAATTTTAAATTTTTCCTGCAGATTACGCATTAGCTTAATATACCCTCTTAAACTGTCGCGAATCAATAATTTTCAAGAAAATTTCAAACCTTACTGCAAAACATCAAATTACACAGTCAATCTATACTTCAAAAAGAACCGGACAACCTTTATCTGTAACTCAGAAATACAAAAAGTGTGTGTCTGTGTGTGTATGTGACTGTTTGTGTGTGTCTGTGTGTTTGTGTGTTTGTGTGTGTGTGTGTGTGTGTGTGTGTGTGTGTGTGTGTGTGTGTGTGTGTATGTGTGTGTGTGTGTGACTGTGCGCGCGCGCGCGCGTGTGTGTGTGTGTGAGTGTATGCCATGGAATCATAGATGTGCCCAGTCAAGCATGAAGTAAGAGTAAAACCAAAATTTCACGTCATTGATTTTCCTTCAGCTTTTGCTCGCCATCAACTCGACGACCAGCATAGCAAAGTACCGACAACAAAGCTACTGAGCGAGTGCCAGGGGCGATATTCTGCACTTGTTTGACGTTATCGTTCATCGACGAAGCCTTCGAAAGGCCTTTTAGGTAGAAGCTGGTATGTCCCGAAACAACAACTGTGAATGATTCATCGTCGTGTTTGAAAACTGACATCATGACTGCTCGATCGAAGACTGTACTTTTAGTTATTACACTTAGCTGTGTTTCTTTACTTCGTTCTTGTTGCGTTGTTGTTGTTGCTGTTTTTGTTATGTTGTTGTTGTTGTTGTTATTATTATTATTATTATTATTATTATTATTATCATCATTATTATTATTATTATTATTATTATTATTATTATTATTATTATTATTATTATTATTATTATTATTATTATTATTATTACTACATGTATTATTATTATTATTATTATTATTATTATTATTATTATTATTATTATTATTATTATTATTATTGTTGTTGTTGTTGTTGTTGTTGTTGTTGTTTATTGTTGCTGTTTCAATTCTGTCGATTTTTATGGTCTCATTTCTGTATTTCACACAATGGCTTTAGTGTCCTCTTCCTTTCAGTTTATGTTGTAAAAAATACGAAAGGGTTTGTATCTACGTGGGGAGGGGGAAAAAAGATTTTTTAACATTTTGTTTTTGTTTTCTGTTGTTGTTTTTTTGGTGGGGGGAGGGGGGGAGGTTGCACGGGCCTTTCGACTACTTTGATTGTTAAATCGAACTACAGGAAATGCAATGAATTACTGGTCATAATAATATCTTTAAAAGAATGATGTCCTTGAACATATTAATTATCTATCTAATTTCCCAATATCATATCTACCGATTTTCTTTAAAATAATCTTTGTACCGTGACTGTGTTTATTCTCGTGATTTAAAAAAAGCAACAACAACAACAACAACTTTTTAAAAAAACCCCAATAAGCAGCTCTATCTTACGTAAATTTGATAAATGTCTACCTAGATTCTCTTTCCTAGTACTTAAGTATTAAAACTGAAAAGTTGGCTGATTGATACCTAAGCTGTAGGAAAGAAGACCGACTAATAGTGAGGCAGCGTGGTGGAGTCAGGCTCTCGTCAAAATAATCAAAGTGAAGAAACTTGCATTTTCCACGGGTTTGTGAATTTTTATCAAGTTTTTGTTTTTTGGTTCAACACCTTTCATGCTTATTAAAGAACTCATTTCTGTGTGGATTGTTCTGAACAACTTTGATTCAAGGTACAATAAATGTAAATTTTCAGTTGCCACGGACTCTTAA